GGGGAGAAGAAAGGAACCTTTCTTCATTGTTGGCAGGAGTGCAGACTGGTGCAACCAGTATGGAAATCAATATGGAGAAACCTCAAAAAACTGTTTAGAAGTCCCATTTGACCCAGCTGTTCCTCTCCTGGGCATCTTCACAAAAGAATTAAAAGAATCGTACCACAGCAATATATGTGCACCCATGTTTACAGCAGCACAGTTTGTAATAGCTAAGACTTGGAATCAGCCTAATTGCTCATCAACTGGAGACTGGATAAAGATGTAGTTTTTCTATAACATGGAGTACTACTCAGCCATAAAGGATGAGAAACTAGAGACATTTATAGCTAAATGGATGCACATTGAGGCCATACTCTTAAGTGAAATAAGTAGGATACACGTGAGTAAATACCCAATAGTTTCTCTGGTGTAAAACACTAAAAGTGTACATAAGGTTCAAATGGTGTAAGTGATAATGTGAAATAGGAAGAAAAGGTCTAAAGGAGAAGGGGAAGTGGGAAAGCTGGGGAAAAGGAAAGAAGGGAAAAGAAAAATATGAGAAAAGGAAAAAATGGAAACAAAGTCTTTGTAATAGGAATAGGAAATACAGTGGTGAAGGGAGGGCAGGGGAATGGGAAAAAAATAAAAACCAAAGTCCATCATGTAAAGGTACAAGATTCCAGTGATGAATGTAGCTGTACTGTTTACCTTAAATGTACCAATAAACTTAAGGAAAAAGTAAAAATAAAATAAAAAAAATAGTATAGATTTTTAAATTTTCTCAACTGTAATTTCTTATATGGTAAATATTAGTAGGTAGAATCCATATAAACAAAATTTTGGGGTGGGCTCCATAACTTTTAAAAGTATAAAGGAATTCTGAGACCAAAAAGATGGAGAACCATTGTCCTAGAGATTTAGCTTCTGGTTTGCAGTCTGTGACATTTACACTACTTTATCCCCATGCATGCTCAAGTCTCTTATATAAAATGGTGTGGTATTTGCATAGTTTAACCTATGCACATCTGCCTGTATGCTTTACTTATTTTTTTATTGAGTTTATTGGTACAATCGAGGTCTACAATACAGTTACATTCATTGCTGGGATCCTGTACCTTCACATGACAGTTCTTGGTTCTCATTTTTTCCCCTTGTCCCTGCCCTCTTTTCACCCCCTCCTCCCCTCCCCATTTACAAACTCTTTATTTCCATTTTTTCATTTTCTCATATTTTTTCTTTTCCCTTATTTCCTTTCCCCTACCCTTCCCACTTTCCCTACACCTTTAGCCCTTTTCTTCCTATTTCACACTCTAAATTATCCCATTAGGATCCAGATGTATGCTTTAAATTATCTCTGGATGACTTATAAAGCCCAATACAATGTAAATGCTATGTAAATATGGGTTATATTTTGTTTAGCAAATAGACACAAGAAAAATGTCTATATATGTTCAGTACAGATCATTTTCCTTCAATATTTCCAATCCTCATTTGCTTGAATTTACAGATATGAATCTGCGGAAGTAGAGGGCAGGCTGTATAATTTCAGAGCTCAAATTTCAAACCTGTTAATTTTAAGGAAGGTGGGTAGGAATAAACTGCAAGAAACCTCAGGAACCACATGGGGGGACCTTGGATTTCAGGAGAGAGGGGTAAAAAAGCAGAACCCAAGCTTCACTTGATTTGTTTACTTTTGCATCCTCCTAGCCTTGGGCAAATGAGTGATTAGAGTGAGCAAGAAAATTAATAATAAGGTGAACGATCAGAGAAAGAGGAGGCCGGTGGAGATGGTGCTGAGTATGAAGTGCTGCCACCCCCTCCCCCAGCAGCTGCTTAGGCCTCAGTTCTACACTGTTGCCCTTGTGTGCTAAGACTTTCCTGATACACAGACCTGAAGATGCTGAGTAGCCTGGTTAACATTCAATAGAATGTGGTTAAGGTATCACAAAGATGATGATGAACAACATTTATGTTTGGTGGAAAAGAAAGATGATAGTTTTAGTTTTGAACATGATAGGCTTGGTGGAGATGTCCAATAGGCAGGTAGAAATAAGAGTCTGGCCTAGAGTAGCAAAAGTAAATTGAGGAATAAAAGGGCGGGGAGTTAGCTCAGTGGTGCTACTGCCTGCCTTGCAAGCTCAAGGACCCGAGTTTGATCCTCACTATCACCAAAAAAAAAAAAAAAAAAAAAGTTTAGAAATAAGAGCAAATCAGGGGAATAGCAATGCCTGACTTTAAGCTATACTACAAACCAATAATGATAAAAATGACATGGTACTAGGTTCCTTTCTCCCCACAACACCGCCAACATTTGTTATTGGTTGATGTCTTGATAGCAGCCATTCTTTATGGGATGAGGTGGAATCTCAGTGTTGTTTTCATCTGCATCTCTCGAATGACTAGTGATGTGGAACATTTTTTTCATATATTTACTTGATGCTTTTACTTCTTTGTCTGAGAAATGTCTGTTCATTTCAGGTGCCCATTTTTGAATTAGGTCTTTATATTTGGGGGAGCTGATTGTTTTGAGTTCTTTATATATTCTAGATAATAGTCCTTTGAGGAGCCGCTGGTAAAAATTTTTTCCCACATTGTAGGTTGTCTCTTAGTTCTGTTGATGGTTTCTTTGGCAGTGCAGAAGCTTTTTAACAAGATGAGATCCATTGTGGGAGTGCAGACTGGTGCAACCACTATGGAAATCAATATGGAGATACCTCAGAGAGCTGGGACTAGAGGTTCCCTTTGACCTAGCCATCCCTCTGCTGGGTATCTTTCCAAAAGAATTAAAAGAATCATATCACAGAGAAGTATGCGCACCCCTGTGTTTATAGTGGCACAGTTTGTAATAGCTAAAACTTGGAAACAGCCCATTTGCCCATCAGTTGGAAACTGGATAAAGAAGATGTGGTTTTTCTATAAAATGGAATATTACTCAGCCATAAAGAATGAGAATTAGATTCATTCATAGAAAATGGATACATATTGAAGATATATTCTTAAGTGAAATAAATGTCACACATGTGTAAATACTAAATAGTTTATCTGGTGTGAATAAACTATAATAGTACAAAAGATCCTAATGATATAATGGATAATGTGAAATAGGAAGACAGGGGCTAAAGGTGTAGGGAAAGTGGGAAGGGTAGGGGGGAACTAATAAGAGAAAAGAAAAATATGAGAAAACGAAGAAATGGAAATGAATTGTTTGTAAAGGGGGAGGGAGGAGGGGTGAAGGGAGAGTAGGGACAAGGGGAAAAAATGAGAACCAAGACCTGTCATGTAAAGGTACAAGATCCCAATAATGAATGTAACTGTACTGTATAACTAAAATGTACCAATAAACTCAAAGAGAAAAAGAACAACAACATGGTACTAGAACAAAAACAGACATGTAGATCATTGGGACAGAATTGAGGACACAGAAAAACTCCCTAGACATATTCAACTATTTGATTTTTGACAAAGGGGCAAAAAGCATATGTTGGAGGAAAAAACATCCTATTCAACAGGTGGTGTTGGGAAAACTGGTGATCTGTTGGCGGAAGAATGAAACTGCACCCTTATCTCTCAGCATAAACTAAATTAAAACAAAAGTAGATCAAAGATCTAAACTTAAAACAGAAACATTAAACTTAGTGGAAGATAAAATGGGTAAAACACTTGAAGACATAGGTGTAGGAAAATATTTTCTAAGCAGAATCTCATCATACAAGAAATATTAAGAATCAACAAATTGGATTATATCAGACTAAAATGCTTCTGTATAGCAAAATAATAAATCAGTGGAACAAAGAGACAAGCTACAGAATGGGAAAAAATTTTTGTCAGCTACTTCTCAGACAGAGGACTCATTTCTAGAATATACAAATAACTAAAAAAATACCTAAAAATAAAGACCCAGTGAAGAAATGAGTAAGAGAAACAGACATTTCCCAGAGAAAGAAATACAAATGATCAACAAATATATAAAAAATGTTCCATAGCTGGCCATTAGAGAAATGTAAATTAAAATGATGCTAACATTCTATTTTACTCCAGAAAGAATGGCATTAATTAAATCAAACAATAACAAATGCTGGCGTGACTGTGGTGAAAAAGTAACTCTCCTGCGTTGTTGCTGGGAATGTAAAGTATTACAACCATTATGGAAATTAGCATGGAGATTTCTCAAAAAACTGAAATGAGAAATTTCATATGACCCAGCAATCCCTCTGCTAGGTATCTTCCCCAGAGATCTTAAGTCATCATATTTTCATACTACAGCAATGCTTGCATATCAATATTTATAGCAGCACAATTTGTTATAGCTGAATCCTGGAAGCAGCCTGTATACCCATCAAAAGAAGACTGGATAAAGAAAATGTGGTACCTGTATATATTGGAATACTACTCAGCTATAAAGAATGAGACATTTGTAGGAAAATGGGTACACCTGGAAAATATAATGTTGAATGATATAAAACAGACACACAAACTTAACTACCTCATGATATCTCTCATTTGAGTGAGGCAAAGTACAAACAGAGAAAATGATAAAGCGTGGGTAGAAAGGGACAAAGGGATGGATCTCTTGCAATAGAGAAGTGGTCCAATGGAACAAGGGTGAGGGGTGAGGAGGAAGGAAAGAGGAAATGAGAGGAATAAGGATGTGCCATGTACAAAAACCTAATTACCCCAATTAGCATAAACTATTTGCCCATAACATGAGCTAAGACAAATAAAGTCAACAAATATGAAAAAAGGGATGGAGAACCAGAAGGAGGGGGAGAGGTGGGGAAGAGAGGGGGTTAATAAAAAGATGTAATGGGTACATGTAACCACTCCCCAAAATAATTGTAAACTGCATGAATTGAAAACACGTAGTAAAATAGGAAAAAAAGAAAGAAAGAAGGGTCTGGATCTTGGGACTGTGATCATGGCTGGATGCATTGCCTTGGGATCAGTGTCCTGCAGAAATGGCTGAAGCTGTGGACAGATGAGGTGACTTTGTAACTGTGTCTGTTTTGCTTCCTCACTAGGTCTTCCTAGTGGCCTACGTTAACATCAAATTTGCAAATTCTCCTCGCCCATTTTACTGGATCTTGGAAAGATCTGTAGACTTTGGACACACCTATACACCATGGCAATATTTTGCTCGTAAGTAATCTCATCTACCAGGTTATAAGGGGTTTAATTATTTGACACAGATCAAGTCTCTGGACTTCATTAGAAAATTAGCCCATCAGTGAGGCTAGGTAGGGACTAATTTTAACCTCCTAAATTGTCCGCAGATCACCTGCATATGTGCATTAATTCCTAGGATGCCACACACAGAACTGAGGTGATAGGTCCTTTTATGATAGTTCTTGCAGTTACTTGAGGGTACTTATTACTGGGCCACAATTCTAGTCCTTTTTTTAGTGTAGAAGATGGAATCTTCATGGATAGTGCACTGTAGATTACTTGACTCTTATCTACCCGAATGAAGAACGTCAGTTTCCCTGGATCCTGCATAAATCGAGGTGAGCAGGAATTTTGCTTAAAAGAGTACTGAGTTTTCCATGAAAACTCCTTGGAGGCTCAATTTTCTGAACAAGACCTGAGGAGTGAGCACCACATCTCCAAAACTGCCCTCGAGAGTCAAGTAGCTTGACATGATTTAGTGTTGTCTTTCGTGAACTAAAACTTATATGTTTTGTCTGATAATCTAAAAGTCTTCTCCATTCCTTCTCTTTTCATATATTATCTGAAACCTCCTTAAAACATTTACAGAAGTTAAAATATTTTATTTGATACTATTAAAGTATTTTTTCCTAGCATCTAGATTAGGCTGTATACAAGCATTTGGGACGAAGGAAGATAAACCCCGCAGGGACAATGATGTGGTCTGTGTCACACGCTTTTCCAGGATCATACCTTTGGAAAATGCACTGGTAAGTAGATTTGGGGGGCTGTGAGCAGTGGGACTCAGGAATGAGCATGAGAATATCCAACTTTTCATAGTTTTGAAAATTGCACTTTCGGGGAGATCTAATATAATACAGGTCAGGAAGGAAAGCAGCACCTGGGACTGAATGATAAAACAATCACGAGGCTCCCGGAATGAGTGGAATTGGAAATTGTGTTTGGGTCTTGAATTCTCCTCAGGAGTCAGAGGATTTAAGGTTCACAGGTCTTGAGCACTCCTTTCTGGTGATAGATTTAGAAAGTAGGTCACTGCTAGCTGCAGCCATGCCTCCCGCCCTCTATTCACTCAGTCAGAATGAGGAGGCAAAGGTCAGGGCAGTCCTGAGCCTTAACCCTTTTGGCAAGATGAACATTACCTGTTGGGGAGAAGAAAATTGCAGTCCTTTTGGGGTTTCACCCTAGAAAAGTCAGCCTAGCTGTTGTTAGGGGAGGTGGGCAAACAGGTAGCGAAAATCAGAGAAGAATTCCATGGAAATGATCAGGACATAATGAGTATAGTGAGTTTTATCAACTTCCATTAAGAATATCAGTCTTCCTCTCTGTAAGAAGAGAGATCTTGCTGGGCGTGGTGGTGTACATCTGTGATATCAGCATTCAGGAGGCTCAGGCAGAAGGATCACTGATTTCAAGGCCAGCCCAGGCTACATAGTTCAAAAAAGAAAAAGAAGAGAGATTCTGATTGAGCAGCTATATCCAGTGTTGACCCAAAATTTGTGAACATGTCATGTTTTAAATGGTTGAGACTTGGGCTTCATCAGTTCAAGCTTTAAAATAAAACACAGGTTTTGGATAGGTGTAGGATTATTTTTTTTGGTTCATCTTTTCAACTTCATTTGGATTTTTGGATTGCTTCAGCTTTGCTTCTTCGATGCAGCTTGACATAGTTATTTCCTATTTATAGATTTTAACATTATATCTTCAGTATTTCATGATGTGGCAGTGCCACAAAACATTGATAGAACAGAGGGTTATACAAAATTAAAACAACATTGAGATACCATCTTACTTCAGAAAGCATGGCTATCAAGAAATCAAATAATAACAAATCCTGGCAGGGATGTAGGGGAAAAGGAACTCTTCTATATGGCTGGTAGGGATGTGAAATAGTACAACTGCTATAGAAATCAGTGTGAAGATTCCTCAAAAACTGGAAGTAGAGATTCCACTTGATCCAGCTCTTCCCCTTTTAGGTATCTTCCCAAAAGAGTGAAAGGTATCATATTTCAGGAATACATGCACACCCGTGTTTACAGCAGCACTATTCATAATAGCTAAATCTTGGAAATGGCCTATATGCCCACTAACAGATAAATGGATAAAGAAAATGTGGTCTTTATACACAATGGAGTACTACTGTATCATAAAGAAAGATAAACTTGAAGCTTTTGTAGGTAAATGGATGTGATTTGAGACCATAACACACATGTATTAAGTTTTTAAAACAAATCAGACCCGTTATCTTAAATATGGCATAGTTTCTCTTACATAAGAAACTTAAGAGAGAACAAATTAGAAATCAGACAAATAGGAAGTAGGAAAATCTTTTTCAAATGGAAGGAAGAATAAAAGATGGAGGGGGAGGAAAGGGAAAGAAAGGAGATGGAAAGAAGAAAAGAATTGAAGGGGAAAAGTGATGAAAATAGAGCTTTCAAACATGAGAAGGCAATGAGAGTTGGAAGGAGGAGGGGCGGAGGGGTAGGGGTTTAAAACAAAAATAGAGAAAAAAGAATTAAGGTATATTATGTACATGGGCCACCTCCACACAATGATTATAGTCATTATGTACTACAAACATGTACAGATGAAATAATAAAATGGATGAAAAATGAAATGGCAACGTTGAGAGCCCAGGTTTCAAGGACTGTTGTCAGAGCTTGGGACCAGGAACGGGGAGGGAAGATGCCACTAGCAGTGATCTCTAGACATCAGCAAGCTCCAAGGTCACCTACACACATCTGATAGCTCAAAGTAACCAAGTGCTTTGGGGTGTGCGCCTCACTTTTACACAGTTTGGTACTAAATTTGGATGAAAGACTTTCTTTGACCCCTCACGTATGTACTTATTTTAGATTAGTGTATCTTTGACCTTCGGCCGTCCAGGTGCAAAAGATTCAAATGTCTCAAACACCTTGTTGGAGTTTATACAGGCAACAAATATTCGCCTGCGCTTTCTCGAATACGGCAACTTCAAGGGCCATCTCATGTCCGTTGGTATGAGGGATCCTAGCCTCACTGAGCAGGTAAGTGGCATTTTACAAGTCCCTCATCAACAGCATTTGTTTTGTTTCTTTTCTTTTTTTTTTTTTTTTTTTTTTTAAATTA